CGCATTTTTCTATTCACTGTAGCTCACTACACATCCATGTGGTGAAGTGTGCGGCCGTCGTTTGAGTTGTGGCCAGCATAACTGTGAAGAGCCATGTCACCCCGGTTCGTGTGGTACTTGCTGGCGTGGCGTGATCTACACCGAAGTCACTTGTCGTTGTGGTTTCAGTGTTCTCCAACCTCCGCAACCATGTGGCTCCGGTCCACCGGAATGTCCAAGACCATGTGATCGACCCCACCCGTGTGATCACCCGGTCCGGCACACCTGTCACAACGAACCCGTCTGTCCTCCATGTACGATCTTACTGACAAAAGAATGTCCTGGAGGTGAGTACGGTCGGGTCCTCTTTTCTTCTTGCGTCTTCTGTGGTTCGGACTTCCTTGATCACCACGATGTGATTTTGTTATCTCGTTTGAGAGGTTGTACGTGGTCAGTGTCCAGCAGCACTTGGAATTTAGTTGGAGAGCAAACAAATCAACAAGAGTTTAATTACGAGACCCAAAAAAAGAACCTCTGCCCACAAAATTCTCCTGTAATTTTTGGCTCTTAGGTACACACCACACCAGCCAAGCATTCTAATGGCACCAAGCGGTGTTTTTTTAAATTTATATTTCACACACGTCTAAGGCCAAACTATGTGCCATACAAATCGTGGTACAGTGATCTTTGTAAAAAAGAAAAACGTTCCATTTTTTGCATTCGGGTGGAATACTGCCATGTTGCTCATGCCAAAGCAAGTGAACTATCTTAAGGAATTCACAATCGGAGTCTTCGGCTATAACCTGATCGATGAACCACCTCCCCTAAGGGAGTTGGTTAAAAGCAGAATAGTCTAGAAGAAGCGTAAGAATCACTAACACTTCGTAGGCTGTGGCAGTGGCCGCGGGGCGTATGAGCCAATGAAATGAAATGGACACCGGCCTCCACTATGCTGTGGTTTTCACAAACAAACCGTCCGTCTACCTTGCGAGTCATGCTGTGGCTAGTCGAAGGTTTACGTAGTGCACTCCCCAAGAAAATTCACTTGCTTTGGTCTGGGCAACCTAGCAGCAGCGCCCTCGAGCAAATTACTGACCTTTTTTCAAAGAATATATCCATATATTGTTATGCTGCCAATAATCTGTTTTGCAAGGTTTTTCATTCATTTAGTATTAGTTAATACTAATACTAAATGAATGAGATCTTTGGTTCTTTTAAATCCAAGCGATTTGGGAAAAAGCTTAAGTTTACCAAAAAAACTAACCAACGCTGGTGATTCAAGTCACGGTTGGGAGGAATTCGGCCCGATCAATAGACCTGTTGGGTCAACTCCGCCGTAGCACGCTTAGCAACAAAAAGCATAAGGGGTGAGGGATGACACGATTGAAAAGTAATGGAAGACGGCTGTAGAGATGTAAAAACACGTTTGGCAACAATTTGTGCATGGAGAGATCATGATTTCTCTTTTTTACTATCGACCTTGAACTGATTGTAAAAATGTTCGCGCGTGAATTTCGTGTTTTGTTTCAGTGTAAATCCTCATCAGGGGAGTGATATTTTCCCATCCATCCACCCTACCCCTTATTCAGGTCACGGAGTGCAATTCAGTATGCCTTGTTTCCAGCCCGTTCTTAGTTGCGGTCGCACCTGTGGTCATCCACTTCCGGGTTGTTCTCATACCTGTCAACGAACTTGTCACAGCGGAAATTGTTTGGAACCGACTACAGGTGAAACTGTTCCCCTTGTTTGCACTCAACCGTGTCAAAAACCTCGACCCGACTGTGGTCATCCATGCGCGCTGCCCTGTCACGAGGTCAAGGGTCAAACGTGTTTACAGGCCAGTGCGACCAGTACGAAACGAAATGTGAATTCAACGAATCCGCGAGTGCCTACTTTACCTCGATGTCGCTTTCCGATAGAGGTAGTTTGTCCTTGTGGCAGACGAAAAGACACAGAAATGTGTTATCAGGTAACGAGAATAATGTTAATAATACGAATTGCCTTTTGAATAAATTGGGCATCAAGACTCGTATCTTTGTGCGATTTCGTCTCACGATTCCAAAGTGATTTGGCCCAAACTGTTGTTTATCCGAAACCGAAACGACAGTCTGTTCCTCGGTGCTGTTCAAAGCAATCATTTGGTCTGCACAATTCTTCAGTTACGATCCAAACGCTACTTTGTAATAGCGAACCTAAGGTTGTATGCTTTTGGAAACGGGAAAAATGAGGTCCCAGAAGGAGTGCCATTCGATCCGGAGGAACATAGACCAGACACTTCATCCTTGATCATACAGGTGCTGTTTGGCAGATTATTTGTTTGTGACATAGAAGACGGGAGAATGGGATAGCCAATCGGGTTAACCCAACAGGGTGTGCGTGGCGAATGAGTCATGAAACGGCCGAGTCATCTGACATGAGATTTTTTAGTGTTTTGGACTGTTGTACTACTACTATTGCTACTATTGCTACTATTACTATTACTACTGTTACTACTACTACTACTACTGCTGCTTGGTCGACTGAGTTAGGGATGCTTGATAAAAATCGGCCGAGGTTTATCGACCTAACTGGTCGTGCTATCGGCAGATTCACCAATTTGACCCACTGTCAAGTAACGTGCATAAACCCAATGAGTTTTTCTCCTTGTGTGAAATGTTCTTTATCATTGGGCCGCGATTGCTTTCAAGGATCGCCGGCTTAGGTTGATCCTGCGACTTGCGCGAGCACACACAGACTGAATGGTGCACAACAATACAGTATACTGGCCGATTGTGATGCACTAAAATATTTTCTTTCTTTTCAAGTTGAGTTTCATTATCTGGGTAGGGAGAATACACGGTCAGCCTTGTCGGTAGACATCAGTCAAATGCACCATGAATGGTGAAAAATTCGTATCAGTAATGGTGAAAATTTTTCCAGAATTTCATAGAAATTTCGTCTGGAAAAGTTATCGCTTTTCAGGACAACACGCCGTGTCATCTTTCACTTCTAATTTGCTTTTAGACTTCAGAAAAGATGCGTGACTCTAAGGTCCGGTTCATAAAACTTCCTTCTCATAGCCCAGATCTCAATGTGATAGAAAATCTGTTTTCTGTTTTGAAGAGAGAGGTCAATGTGCTATCTGTGCATTGGACATTGAAGGCAAAAGTGCGATATATAATGAAGCACAAAATGGAAAATGAATTCATAAAAAAGTTGGTGGATTCGATGCCGAAGAGACTCGAAAAAGTCCTAAAGATCAAAGATAGAACAATCGACTATCAGTGTACAGAAACTTTACATCCTAGTTATTATCAATGTTAATTTGTTTTCACTAAAGATTGTTCTATTCTCTTTAGTTAGCTCTCAACTCACCGTGGTCTAGGTCAACCACTACTGACGAAATGGGAGTATACGCTACATTCTGAACCATTCCATCTACCTGGTATAAACGAATCACGAAAATCACTGCCATAAAAACTCACCAAGGCTTGTTTATTATTATTTGGAAAAAATTACTTCATCATAAATGCTGTCACCTACACGAAACCACAAATGTTTCACAGGGACCGGTTGTTTCAGTTTCGATCAGACCTGTAATCTACAATCCCGAGTTAATTTCATTCACTTTTCCCTTCCCCTTTATCATTCCTCCGTCTGTCGAAAATACGCTTAGCTTATTTCAATAATTAGATCCCTAATTAGAATGTGACACGTAGTCCGTTTGTGGAAGGTGGTCAGACCTAGCACGAGGGCATGAAAACCTTGACTAGAAAACTGGCTGATATAAACCACGTTGGTTTGGGACTCCCCTCGCTCATCGTAATCGATGACTGAAGACATTGGGTAATGTGGTTGAGTGTCGCAAATTGTGGCGCTCTTGCATCTACTCATTATTCGCGCGATCCTGGTCTATATGAACTCTCTATCTTCCGCTTGACTCTGCTTGCAACGTTCCAATCTTCCTCCTGCTCTTGCATCCAAATGGGCATTCATGAGAAAGCAGCCAAAACCGACGTATGAAAGTGCATGGTTAATAGTTGTACAAGTCCCTAACACAACGCAGCATTCTATATCGATTTCGGCTGTGAACTAATTGTCTGAAAATGGTCGTTGGTTTCTTATTGTATCACAGTTACGTGTTATTTCGTATGAACTCTCGTCTTCATAATGAACACGCGTTACAATTGGCAATTCTTTACAATCCGCCACGATCATCAGCTGTTGACAGGTCGTGTTTTCGCACTGGCTATCCACACGTGTTCTGTCGCGGCACATATTAAAACTACCGGCATGAGCAATATTGTATCATTCCTGCACTTTATTTGATTGTCGCGAACAGGTTTTTAAGGTTCAACTTCACATCACTTATCGATTGTTCTTAGTAGGATCGATTACCGGTTGATCGATATTGTACCATTGCATTCAGTCACGCGATTTCCATGCTTGTGTACTCATGGTTATGCGTCGTGATTGTTCGTTCTATATCGGTTACGTATTATTTCATCCGATGCGTTGGGTTAACCAATTGTACTGCATTTTTTAATCTAGCCGTTTTGTGCCTCTCTTATGGTCGACATTATTTCAACATTCCCGTGTAGTTTGTTCCACTCGATCATAGCTGGCCAATGATTTATCGGAAATGTTTTTATCAGAATCACTTGTATATGTATGTGCGTACAGGTTCAGTTAAAGTATTGCATGCTGCTTCAAAGCGACGATACAGGATCCACGCGATTGAGTGACATTCAGAAAGCGCTCCAACCCAATGTGGGAAAGAAACAAGATGGTCCGTTAGCCTTACTCGCATGTGACAGTGCGTGCACAAAAGCTGCCGAAGCCGCCTCGTCCGAGAACGCGAATGGTCGTTTTGCGGACACCTCGTCTTGGACTCGCGGTCTGGACCTAAATCCCGGACAGTCGCTCCCAGACGATGCGGGCAAGGATGAGAAATTGCCATTTGAAAAACCCGAATACTCGAAATGGCTTAAGAGTTTTGCGCTTAACAATTTCGCGTTTGCTGTCAGTGTGGAGCGTCAGCTATACAGTTTAGTATTGCAGGTAAGCTCATGCGCCTCCACCTCTCTCTTACTTGATTTGAATGTAACTATGCGTTTGGCCGGTGTTTTTCAAGTTATACGTCGACACGTACTAACATATTACCTCATCTTGGCCAAAATTCGCCGATCCCTCAGAGTTCAATATTGATCGAACCCTGCACTCACTAGGCCAAAGTAAAACGTACCATCCAGTTACCTCATACAGCGTGATTTTATTTCAGCAGGTCTCATTATATCACCTTTCTGCAAGGTTACCGTTCTATCGGAATGCATTTCCACTGCTATTAGCGAGAGATTGCGTTTAACTTATCCAACGCTCGTATATTTTCTGAAATACCAACTTTAGTTTTTACTGTCGAAACCATTCTATCGCTTAAGGATTCTTTTGTATCTGCTTACACAAGGTTTCTGGCACCCGTTATCTGTATGCCTTGTTCTATTTCTGCTCCCTGCAGGTTTTAAAGACCGCCGATTCGGACTCTGTTCGCACTGTGTCGTATCATTTTCCTCCAATGAAGGATAAAAGACGCCGTTTCGTTCATGAACTTGCCGAGTTTTACGGAATCGAATCGCACAGTATGGATCCGGAACCCGGTCGTCATGTGATGGTACTAGCCAGGCGTGGTAGCACCAAATTTCCCGGCGGAGCCACAGACCACCGGGGCAGTTTGACTGCAATGCTCCAGAAAGAATTTCCCGGCACGGTCAAGCTTGCCGAAGGAGTGCGCGTTCCGCCCAAGACGGAAGCGAAAAAACATCCCGCACCCAGTTCCGTCACGCGTTCGTCTTACGCGCAGGTTCTCTCCGATCCGACCGACCCGACATAGTTTTTGTTTATTCGGCCGCGTGTTCATTTTTCTAGTTGCTTCGTCCGTTTGTGTGTGTTCCTTCATTCTTTTTTCCCGGATCTCCATGGTCTTTCGTCTCGGCCCCATGTCCCCCAGCAAGTACACCAAACAATCCGCACACACATATGCTGTGTTGAAAATTAGTAGTATCCCAAGAGAAAAGAAAAAAAGTACATGTGGCGATTGCTCTATGTATATTTATATTTTCACACATGTCTGACGCCAGACTGTGCCAAACAAATCGTGGTACAGTAATCTTTCTAAACAAGAAAACGTTCCATGATCTGCACGCGGGCGAAATACTGCCCGGTTGCCTATGCCAAGGCAGGTGAATTTTTTGAGGAATCCACAACCGGAGCCATCGGCCAGTCAGAGCCTGACCCGTAAGGCAGCGAGGCGGTGTGCGAAAACCGCATTCCATTGGAGGCTGGTGTCCAGTTCATCGGATCATACAACCTTGGACGGGGTCAAACGCCTAAGGTGCCTAATCGAGTCGGTGATCACTAACTCGACAAGGAAGCTACTGATAGTTGTGGTTCGTACACCTCCTCTTAGTTGGCTTGTAATCAGGGTTTTTGGCGAACTCCCTTAGGTAAACTACCAGTGGTCCACCAACCCGGTTATAGCCTCGGATGTCAGCTTTTCGTCCGCTCACTTTGTAGAGAAAACACCTACGCCACTAGAAGGCAGTGAGTAGGGCTTCCTCAGCAGAGGCTATTTGATACGTTTGATCGTGTGGGAACATTTGTCGACGTGCAAGGGAAGGGTAACCAGCCGCAACCGTAGACAACCATACTGAGGAGGCAAAACTGCATACAATGTTGTATCATGTGATCTTATTCCGGGTGACAGCTCCAGTGAATTGGAATATCCGATACCAAAAGTTAGTCCTATGATCGAGGACCCATGTCAAGATACCAGTTTTATCAGTGCCGGTTCCAAATTGGCAAACTATTTGTAGTGAAGATCAGTGAGTTCAATTTTTTTAGTGTCTAACCAGTTGAAAACGTAAACTAACTTGGGTCTTTGGAAAACAGACTAGATTAGGGTCTGGAAGATATTGATACACTTAACCGTGGCAAGATTCAGCTGTGGAAATAGCTTACATCTGCTTGCAATGACTTTGGGTAGCTGTTATTCGGATAACGGAATAGAAAGGATAGCTATAACGCTAGGAGCATAACCAGGATGAGAATATAGACCCATGTTGACTAATGTTCGCCTCCGAAAGGCTCTCAACATGGTTGCGGGTGGATCATGCTCATCGTTGTTGTACAGCCAAATATTCAGCTTACAATATATACCAAGTAAGTGAGAAAGTACAAGGTGGATAGGGTGTGGACCTAATTTGAAGGTGATAAAGAAAGTGAACCCCTATGATCATCACACAATGAACAAAAGTGTGCCTATGCACGCCTTCTCAAGTACTCTCTGATCTGTTAGGAAGTGACCACAAGAACGCGATTGCTACAGGTATACTGTGATTGTTTGGCGTTATTCTAGGACTTCACGTAGAGTGAAGATTTGGCCGATGCAATCGTGACTGGGTTGGAATCCTGCTTGATATTTGCCAGTGTTCTTTTCTCTAAAGGATGACATGCGGCGAAGTATCACAGAAGTTACCCCGTTTGTAATGATCAAAACTAAATTTACCCCATTGTGGTTTGCGCAGTCGTTACATAACCCTTCATGAAGATCCGAACAATCAACGATTCACCCTAGGATATAGTCTTCAGATCAAGTACGGCGTAGTAGACTAGCAGTATAGTCGACGAATCATCCCTATTCTCCGTAGAGGATTGAAGAGAATCTAGTCATATCACGCTTCTTTCTTTTTCTCTAACGATTGAATACAACATACTCCTAGTTCTTTTGGGGACTCATAGATTACTGCCCACGGAGTTTCGACAACACTCGGCAGAATAAGCACCGGACCAGTTGGACTGTTCAAATAAATATTCAACCTAGGGACCAGGCCGTTCGTTATTGCTCATTGTGTATCCTCTGTCCATTTTCACCGCAAATCGTTTAGCTGACTGATATGCGACAACCACCGCTGCTGTTTATCAGGTGAAACAATCTTTGATTAGTTCCTGATGCGGATGATACTCACATTTCACTAGCTAGTTTGATCCACCAACTTACGTTATTTTCTAAAGCTTTTCCCGAGCTAATGTTGCGCATACCACCGATTTCTGTGTTGACCCAGCCAGATTAGGATCTTTCACTTCATCACTATCAGGATTACTCTGAATCCTGAGAGATTCAATGTTTTCGAAAAACTCTGGACTAAGCCCATTGAGGAAGTTCGCTGATGAATGGATCATATGTCTAATGTGATCCCCCTGTTGATTTACTCCTACATGTCGCGGTGCTCCTAGCTCCTCCTCAACTTGCGTAAACGACTGGGTCACGTGCAGACGATGCTGAGCCATTTTCACGAAAACGGATGAGTGAAGCACAGTAGAAATGTTGCGTGATCAGACTCAACACAGCTGGTTCAATGCGGATTTGTAACTTTGTATTGAACCATGCCAACGTTAGCTTACAGCTATGTGGTCAATTTAACTTAACGTTAAAACAGATCACCGCCTTGAGCTGCGATAAAAGTTGTTGCTAGGTAAGTACAATCGACGGTCTGCGTAGAGCTGAAACAGTCAATCAATATGATCTATTCGCTGGGCGGGAAGAGCGAAGCAGCCCCTCCCCCGAGACAGGCTTCAAATGCGCTCAGTTTTCCAAAATCGGTAATGAAGTCGCCTACCAGCATTATTACATCTGCAATATGGATCAAACGGATGAGCTCATTGAGTTTGTCGTTAAACTCGTTTGTGTATGAATTTAGATTGCAGCTGGTTGGTGCTATGACGATATGATGAACAAGCACCTTTTGGTATTCCTCCCCCCTCCCATATGAACCCTAGAGTCTTAATGCGCACAAACGACTATTGACGGGTATCCCATCGCTCAGTATGATTTATACACCACACAGAGCTGGCTTCTTCATCTCCTGATGTGCGAAAGACACAAACTGAGGACAGACCCCAAGGGACAAAGAAGCAAGGTCTCGAAGAAACGGAGTAGGCTCGCAGACATTCAGTCCCTTATCTTGTTCACGTAGCGGCCAGATCTCGGCAATATATACCATCACCAACCGAAACGCTGCACTACCAGTAAGGCATAACAAAGCATGATACACTATACCGTCCGATTCTTAACTTCCCAACGCTAATGAATAAATGAAAAACTTAATTCGTTGATCAAATGAAGCCAAACCCAGAATGGAATCAATCAAGATGAGTCCTTTAAATTCAGGTATCAGGAGAGATGCCAAACTTAGTTATCAAACGAAGCCCTGAAGTGGGATTTGCAAGCCCCTGACCCACTGACTTAGACCCTCCCCACCCTAGTCCCGAATTGGCGGAGCACATATCTAGAGCGTTACTGTCAGATAAATTATTGTCGAGGAGTTTGATCCTTCACAAGGTTGACGGATCTTGTAACGCCATTCGGCGCAGTGGTTGATCGCGTTCCATCGCTCGAGTATCCCTTTCGGTATAGCCTAGGACACGATTCGCCCACTTGTAGCCTAACTGGTCACTGAGATGAGCAATCTGGACTGAAACTGTTCCATCACTAACAAAGGTGACAAATTCGAATTGATTTCAGCATATTTGACACTGAAATATTTACAATCAAGTCGGTGTGTGCAAAATCAAAACATAAACACCCGAAAAACGACGGCAGTCAAAAGTGAAGTCTCCACACTGGTTGCCGTTTGTCCTGAACTGACAAGTCTTAGCAGCACTGTGAACTAAGGAATAATCGTCTGAAACTGGACTAACTGCAAAGCACTCAATCACTTAGCTCTACGAACGTTTTCAAGATAGGGATGTCGGTAACTTTTATAATGAATAGTAGTAGATGAATGATTGAACAAAACTTCCCATAAGCATATAATCGGTTTCGCGGTCCTTGCTGCTCGTTGGGTAGCGTATTCGGTAGTCTCCTGTCTGGTCATTCTTATACTTGAATAGCCAATGTGAATTGTGATATGCAAACCTCAAGTGCAGATAGGGGAGTGGATTTGAGACGAACAAGTTTTGAAGAATCATTGGGATGATTCTGTGTTGAGCTGTTGTGACCAGACAGAAGATTACCGGATACACTTAACTAACGGGCGGCAATGACCGCGAAACCGGTCGTGTGCTTCTGGGAAATTTCACTCAATCATTCATATACTACTTATCATAAAAATACTGAAAATCAGCCTTAGCCTCCAGTTGGCTAAGGTTAGACGCATCAAGCCCACAACACCCGATACAGAATCATCGTAATGAGTCTGCCGAGACTTGTTCGTCTCAAATCCACTCCCTGAGCCGCGAATAAGGATTGCATTGCATATCGGCAACCTTTGCTATTTTCTTTCGTTTTCATGCCCCACCACCGCCTCGATGAAAATAGCAGCCTTTTTGAAAAATCTTCCTACGCGGTAGCGGAGCACATACATTGCGATATTCTAGAATAAAAAAACAATGACACATTGGTTTGTGCCAGTCAGATGCTAGTCCGAACGCAATTTCATGAAAACCGGCCCTGTTCTCCGAAATCGAACAGAATGTGAGACGATATCGACAAATGATTAGATTCCAGGAACGACTGTGGAGATTGTGCACCGCATCTCGTTTGCAAATACCATTTGCATACACACCAAAAGTGGAAACCATTTAGGGTGCACCGATGTGCTGTAGCTAAAAATGGTTTCGGGTGGGAAACTGAAAAACTGTTGCAGATAAACAGGAGTCAACAAAAATGTGAAAACTTTAATCAAGGTTTTCGAATTCGAAACTCCGGCTGCGCAGGTTCATTTACTCAGTGATCGTAACCTACTCGTGTCGCCCATGAGTGTTAAACTACGGTATTCGGAGCTCTAACTCACTGAAGCATCTGTGTGCGAATAACATTTTCTATATACACGG